TTTCTGCTTGTTGATGAGACTATATAAATAAACATATTCATTTAAAACTTTTAGGTCTCGTAGCTTCTCCTGGACATTTGTCATTATTTTTTACTTTTTATAGACAAAACAATTCATAAAGTAATGTAGAAAATAATCAATAAATCCTATAAAAGTGAAAACAATCATGAGTTGCAACTCTTGTAAAAACCAAGCTCTCCACTGGAGCAGTGACTCTCCCCAAGGATCCCCAGGCTGCCCACTGCCTGGCAACTGATATTCAGCTGATAAACATGAAGCTCATAAGATCATGTGACTTCCCATCATTTTTTTATGGCTGAAAAACAAGCAGGGTCATGGGCAATTATACAGCTAATAACAAGTGCTCATTTCTACAACTCTCAAGTGTTTTGTTATCGTTGATTGAGGAGGATAAGTACAGACAAATTCTAAATGATCACCAGCAATCCTGATATTTTATGTCTGGTTATTTAGCGGCATCACAAGCAATATTAAGTTATTATGAAGAAAGAAGTCGACAAACCTGTTTGGCACTGAGGAATATGAAGGTCTTTTCAGTGAAAAGCTGTTTGCGAACCGCAACCACTCCAAGGTTAACGTCCTCCTTACTCAAGCTGGGCTCATCGATCTCAGGGATGAATCTTAAAAACAATAAACAGCACAGATGAAATACTGTTTGGTTCAGTGTAGCTGGTGTGTATACATGGGGATGGATTGTTTTGTACCTCTCAGGTTTAGGAGGTGGCAATTTTTGCTGAATTGCGTTGTTGAGCTCTGAGAAGTACTCTGGCTTCACGATGGGACGGCAGCACAGCAGAGCAGAAATAGTCTAATTAGGGCAACACACAAGCATGTTAGCACAAACTCAGGGACGGACACATAACATGTGCCAGTGAGGATATAAAGTCTGGTTCTAACCTTGATGGTGACTTTAACAGTAGGCATAGCCAGGTGGGTGCAGTCCTGAGTCCATGTGTTGACCAGCTTTCCGCCCAAAGCCAGCAGGGCCTGAGAGAGTGTTGCCTTGCCATCGTTGTCCACACATGACGAACATACCACTGGCTTCTGATAGTCCACACTGACGCAAAAAAGACACAGTGACAGAAATACGTAATGCAATATTTTTTAGAATGAATTTGTGTTAAATATATGTCGTACTGACCATTTTATGAGTTTTGGGGAAATAAAATTAAGTGATGGCACCAGTCAGTGATTTCAAAAAACAAAATCATGGTTCTATGATGTAAAACACAACAGACCAGGTCTTCTTTCTGATACATACCTGAATTTGCTGTAAAATGCCCCAAATGTTACATTGTCCCCTGACTGCAAGTTTACTATTGTGTTCTCCGTCACTCGCTGGCCATTGACAAAAGTGCCATACTTGGAGGTGTCTTTCAAAGTCAGGGTCTAAAAGCAAAGTACATGACGAACCCATGAAATTGTTAATTCATCAAACAAACCATCTTACATCTTTCTGTTCAATTATTCATGTGCTAACGAGAAACCCTTCCGTTAAAATTATGCCGGAAATGGAAATGTATCCCAAGATCAGAAAATCAATTAAACCTTAAGCGTAACAACAAATGGACAGGACTGCAGTGGTGAAACAAAATGAAATGTAAATTCATTTCAGTATTAACAGATAGAGAATAACTTTTACATGATCTTGTGTTACAGTAGGTTTATGAATGTTTTTATCCAGATGAAATCAAACAGAAAAACAGAAAGGATTTTCATCAAATAAATATATCCAGAGTATTAAGATAATCATGGCTGGTGATTGGTTTCATATGAAACAAAAATGAGAACTTTACAATGAGAACTTTACCATCAAAAAGATGATTGGTTTTAAACTTTACTTTTGAATTTTAAGATTACATTTGCTAGAAAGTGCCCAAAAACAACGACATATATCAGCATTTATCTATTTTCTATTTATCTCTTTGCATGTGTATTACTCAGCAAAGGCTGCATGTTTTTTTAAAATAACAACATAATAGCAATTTTACACTTGTAAGTGACCACTATTATTAAGCACAGTAGTTTTCCACTTTCACTTATGCAATACTGGTGCAACAGCACCACCTTCTGCCATTACACAGGTTAATATTTTCCAAATTAAATCATATTACTCATCTACTTGGCACATTATTAGAAGGGTTAATATGGACAAATGAAAATACTGATAAATCTGCAAACTATTCACACCAATATGAGACTAACTTATGCATATCTGTGATGACATAAAGTGAAAACATTTTTTTTAATTAATTGTAACTGGGGTCAGATCTCACTTTGTGTGACCTCTTAATTGGAATTTGTTCTTCAGCAACAATATATGCCACTGAAAATTTTATCAAAACCTTTACATCATGAGACTATGATCCTATTCAAAGACAGGAAGCGGTAATATTAAATTACTTCCAAGCTCAAGTTGCTGTATGTGATGTTGGGTGAATAATACTGATGGAACAGTTGGCTTGAGGCAGTCCAGCGCTGTGTGCAATTTCTATGGATGTTTTAAATTTGTTTTTTTCTGCCATGAAAAGTTGTCACAATTGGAATCCATTGTAACCAAAATGATCATACCCTCTGCCCATTCCCCTCAGTTGCACCGTTTTACATAAGGATTAAATTTAAGTGTATAACTTGATCAACAGGGTTGTCTCATCAGGGTCGATGCCCCTAAATTCCAGATAGAGAGACATTCAGTCTTCTATATGTTCAGTGTTACTGATTAAAATTTCCAGTGTCATTGGAATATTTCAGTGGTTTAAACACAGCATACTCAGTCCACATCAAGAATTAAATATGTGGTAACTTTCTGGCCATATCATCCCCTCATTTGCCATCTTTCTGTCACCTGGTCAGTAGCAGTGAGGTGAGCGTGAGCCCTGCTGATGGACTGGTCATTGGTAAGAAGGATGTCACAGTTCTTGCGTCCCACCACATACTCTTTACTGGCAAGGAGATAGTGGGTCTCACCTGTGGGTGACAGAGGGCAGGTTATGGACCGTTCAATGCAGAATCAAAAACAATAAGCTTACTTGAGGTATTATGAAGTTAACTTCTTACATGACAATTCAGACACTTAGTCTGATAAGTTAATGTGTGTTTTTTTTTGTTTTTGTATTTGTTTTTTTTAAATAGTCTTGGTTTACATGAAGGGACAGAGGACGCTGAGACAGCCTAAATCCACAGAAAGAAATGTGGCAAGTTCTCTAAGATGCTTGGAACAACATAACTGAAAAACTGTGTGTAAATGTACAGAGGAGAACTAGTGCTGCTTTAAAAGTAAAGGGTGGTCACAGCAAATATTGATTTTATTTAGATTTTCCGCACTTTTTATGCAGTTTACTATTCATGGTATTGTTTTTGAAAGCATCCTCATCTTACTTTTAGTGCGTAAAACCGTTACACAGTATTGTAAATCAAAGTAAATATATGGTGTTTTACTGTTCTCTGTAAAGATACTGCAGATTTAAATTTGTTTTGAGACCGATTTTAAACCATACTTGAGCCAATCGCATGTTTAGAAGCATCAAACTGCACATGTATCATTGCCATTAAGTTAAAAAAAAACTTCAGTGGCTATTTTCACATTACTAATGGTATTGGCAGCCTCTCCATCCAAAACATTTCAGTAACTGTGAACCAAAGAGCTAGACTATTTATGTACACCAAACCGATCATTTTCGACATTTTGTAGTTTAATCACAAACGTCTGCACACAATAACAGTTGACTCCATCAAGAGGTAAACTTTAACAAGCTAGCTGTGTTAGCTAGCTGGATAAATGTCAGCCACGAAAGTCAAAGTTACCTCCAGGCTGCAAGGGTGTCAGTATCCACATTTTACTGCTATCTGGCACGTTTTAATCAATTATAACCAGCTTCAAGTCAGGAGGAAGATAGCATTTAACTAACAACTACCAACAAGGTGGACACTCACAGCGCGCCACCGAATGACGTTCAAACACTGCGACGCTACCGCCTTTTCAAAATAAAAGTCTAATTCCTCTCATTCACGTAGCGTCAGTGAACCTATCCCAAATTACACCTCATAGACAGTGTGTTATTTATGTAGGCTAATATTGTACATTTCTTGACAGAAAAAACAAATAGCAAAGAGTAAAAAAAAAAAATGCCTTCGACCATAGAAGAGCCATAAAAATCTCCATTTCCACGCTCTCAAGTGGATGCCATGTAAAAGCCTTCACGTAATAAATATAGGACAATGCATTGTAAAGATACACCAGTGCGCCTACTCACATGCCTCCCTCGGAGTGTGTTGATACACAATGAATATAAAGGCACATATTTGGTAAAAACTAGGCGTGGTCAAATATGAAACATGAATTTATAAGATTGTAGTGAAACTATATCAATTCTGACCTTGATCTTCTGTGAATATTCAAAAAATTAGTACATTTAATTAAGTTCAAGTCGTGCTGTTCTGAATTACAGAGACAGTCTGAGTCTTCTATATCATTGCAATAATTAATTTAACAGACCCATAGCTTAATAATTCAGTATGAATTCATTTTTTTGTGTGACATTACTCCATCTATAACTCATACAGCAGGCAAGAAACTAGATAGAACATTTATTAGTAAATATATTGATATTTCATGTTTAAATAGTATAATGATAAGTCACACGTGACAAAACAAGAAATTGGACATAGGCCTATAGTTTTTACTGAATCATAAAACATCAACCAGAAATAAACCAGCCATTCAGACAAGCTCATCAACAACAAACATCAACAACACAATTGAAAAGTATGAAATGATACATACAAACAGAAGTAGCATAATTCCCATGGTATTCACAGATCTTGTTGTAAAATCCAGTTTGGTTAAGTCTCTCTCAAATTTCATAATAAAATAAAACTTGTGGCCTTTATTTATTGAATTCAAACTAAACATCACACATTTCTTTATTGCTGTTTTTTTTTTTTTTAGTTTTTATTTATTTATTTATTTTTACGTTAATTCAAAATAGAGGATCATTGTCAGATTTCCATGGTTGGCCTGCAGCTGGTCTGAGATGGCCTCGTCCCCAGAGACATGGTAGTTTATGATTGGCTCTCATCACTGCAACACTAGTGCAAGAGTCATCAGGTTTACGAATGATCTCACACCAGTCTGGATAGTCCACAGGTTTAGATCCACTGTAGGGAAGATTAGAGTTGGATCAGAACATATGTTGAATACTTTTTTCACTGTACTGAAGTTGTGAAAACAAACTCACTGGTCACAGCATCCTACTCCGAAAGGCTCCATGCAGACACACTGGTAGCAGTCACTGGTGATCCAGCTCTCTCCTATCCCGTAAACGTGTCCCATGTGTTCACAGCTCCCTGAAAATGCAAAACATCAGTTACTGTGACATGTACAGTGGTGCAAGAAGTACCCAGATCCTTTACCCGGATAGACGTAAAAATACTACAATGTAAAATATACTGCATTACAAATAAAAGTCCCGCATTCAAAAGTAGCATTTAAATATATGATTATGATTATTATTATTATTAATAACTTTATTTGTACAGATGCAGCCCAATGTGCATTACAAAACAGGATTAAAAACAATGTGAAGCCAAAAAAAACAAAAAATAAATAGCTAAATAAATAAATTATCGATAACAACATTATAAAACAAAAACAACATCTTTAAAACCAACAGGAAAAATTGATGTAAATTTGCAGCTGGTCGAGGCGGAGTCTGTTTGAACTACTTGTTGTTGGGTAATTTATTCAATATACTGTGCATCATATTCCATGAACTCATTATAAGTTTTGGATGAAACATCTGAATCTGGAGAGAAACCAGGAATTAGAGCCACCAAATAAACAAAGTGAGTAGTACAATATTCTTCCCTGAAATGTGGTAAAGTAGAAGTATAAAGTAGCATAAAGTATAAGTATACATACCTCAAAATAACACTTAAGTACAGTAAATGTTCTTACACAACTTACTCTCTAGTACTAGACATTTACAAGCACACACACACACACACACAATGTACCTTTGGTATTGAAGAAGCACTCCCCACTGTTATACACAGAAAAACATGGCACACTGCCACTCAGGACCAAGAGTAAAACCAAGAGTACTCCTCCTGCTGTGTTTGCCATTTCTGAAAAAAAATCAGAATAAATGCACATGTTAAAATAGAAACTATAATAACGAGTAGAGAGAAAAGCCAGGTTGTGTCTTACCTGCTTTGAACTTTCCACTATGTTATATAGAAATCCTCTGTTGCTGTATTTCTGTCAGTGCTTCACTTTCTGCGTCTCTTGCCTGCATTCACCCTCTTGTTGTTCTTCTCTGTTCCCTCTTGTCCCTCTCTGGCTCTCTGTGCCTCCTCTCCAGTGCCACTCTTGAACTGACGCACTTTCTCCCTGTGCTCTCAGATATTTATACTGCACCAGCTCGTCTTTATCGCCGCACTCATTTCTACTTTCTTCGTTGCTTTTTGTCCACCCCCTCCCTCTCATTAATTGCTATTTTATATCTGCACACACACAAATATACTAACACACACAAGCATTATTATTGAAACGTCTGTCATGCCCTCTTGTACTGCTCCACAGAAATTGCCCTGAGTATACAGTGTGCACCCTTTCAGATAACATTTGTCTCAGAGGGTGCCATTTGACCCTATCACTAAATCCACTATCACCATCTACAGGACAACCAGCCAGAGGCCTATTGTTACGCACAGGAGGTGCATGTGTGTTTACAAATATGAACCTTTGACCCCAGCTCAGCATCCAGATGCATGTAAACGTATTTTACTGTGGCATTCGAAGAAAATAATGTTCTGAAGCATATCTTAAAAAGACAACATGGTTTTTCGTTGTTAGAATTGGATATTCATTCTACTGTGTTCAAATGGAGATGCTAAGGATGTTTTTGATAATTGTATTTCTCTTACAACCGACTAGTCATCTAACTCCCTGATGCACATCAGTTGCTTAATTCAATTTCATGTCATATTGTTAATGAACAATCATGCAAATTACAAGATTTTAAATACGGTTTAACACGATTCAGTGAACTTTCATTTTCCTATTAGGAGTCTCTTTGACGTGATGTGTTTTTACATCCTTTTTTGTGTGTGTTTTTTTCCTCTGCAGGGGAGGAGACGTGATATTTGGGGGCTTTTTATGTGAGTGTTTTTTTTTCTTCTTTTTGTGAGTGTTGGAGGATGGGATTCCTTTTCTTTGTGCTGGGGTTTGTTTGGATAAACCATCTTGAGTCCTCAGATAACATGCATGTCACACAAACACACACACAAATTTGTTTGTCACTTTTGCGGAGATTTGACTGCCTAGAGGCTCAAAACTTAACCTATCGTCAGTGAATGTACAATTCATGTTTGCTCACACTGGACGTATTTGCAATGACAACAAACTAGGGACATAACTTTTATCTGAAATTAAACAACTATCAGGTTTAAAATCAGTCCTTAAACTGATACTCAGATGTGACTACAAGTCACACACCCGGGGTCACACACCCAGACGCCCTCTAGTGCTGCAGCATACACATTGTTTTTCCGATGCTCTTGTTCAGATGTATTCACAATTTCAATAGATTGCCTCAGATGGCTACTGTCCACCCTGACCTGTCTACCCAGTTTGCAATAACTCAATGTAAATTCACTTTTATGTATGCATTACTCCATCTATAACTCATACAGTAAGCAAGAAACTAGTTAGAACAATTATTAATAAATATATTGATATTTAATGCTTATATAGTATGATAAGTGAAACGTGTGACAAAAAAAGAAATTACAAATATAGTTTTTACTGAAACACAAAAGAACAACCAGAAATAAACCAGCCATTCAGACAAGCATATCAATAACAAACATCAACAATTGAAAAGTATGAAATGAAACATACAAACTGAAGTAACAGATAATTCCTGTGGCAGTTATTCACTGGTTTTGTTGTAAAATCCAACCTGGTTTAGTCTATCACAAATTCCATAGTAAAATAAAACTTGTGGCCTTTATTTATTGAATTCAAAGATTCAAAGTAAACATCACACATTTCTATATTGCTTTTTTTCTTTACGTTAATTGCACAGCTCAAAATAGAGGATCCTTGTCAGATTTCCATGGTTGGCCTGCAGCTGGTCTGAGACGGCCTCGTCCCCAGAGACACAGTAGTTTCAGTCCTTAGGAAACTTTCTACCCAGTTTCCTCACTGATGTCAGAACAGTTTTGGTGCCAAAAATGGTATATACATTTTTGAATACTGAGGCATCTGAATACTGATATTCATATTAGAAAGTGTATGTCATTCTGTGATTCACATTTGTTGGCTGCATTTTCATAACATGCATTCTTACACAATAACATTACAAAGCAAATTATTTCTCACATGATTGCCATTCATTTTCCAGCCAGTGCTCCCAGAGGCTTGTGCATGTTAAGATGTAACTTATATCACAGTTCATTTAAAAATAGACTATTACATAATAAAATATCATGACTGGGAGGGAGGAAGTTTCATTAGCCAAAAGTTCAAAAGGATGTTCCCTCTATGTAAAATCAATTAATTAAGATATAAAAATAGTAACTGAAGGTTGGAGCTCACTATGTCTGATGCAATGGGCCATGATTCAGGAATGTGGAGACAGTAATGAATCACTGTAGATGTTAACATGCCATCAGGCTTTATTCCTGGATTCAGAAAAAGTCATTATTTGCACATTCCTATTGAATGAGAAGCAAAACAGGTTTGTCGAACTTAGCTGTAGAATGAAACAACTGTAGAAAGAATGAAAAAGAGGGAGTGATAGAACTGACTTCTCCCCGCTCCATCAACAGGTTTGACCGTGTTATGGTTTATGATGTCACAAACCTGTATGGTGCCAATAACAATGCTTGTTTGCTCATGGAGCAGGATATACTTGCATGCTTAGATCCCGTTGTGAAAAAAAGTGGTGTCGTTGTGTGTGTGTGTGTGTGTGTGTGTGTGTGTGTGTATGTGTGTGTATGTGTGTGTGTGTGTGTGTGAATACATCATTGTTAATATTTTCTTTTTTTGAATGTATCTCTAATCCAAGCCCTACCACACATGCACTGTATGTGTACACTTTCTTATGAGAGATTATATTACAATATAATCATAACCATTTATACAAAGTTTACTGTTCAAAACCATTTACCTGGACATCTGACTATGTTGGTCTGTTTTGCAGTGGTGCAGCAAAAGGATCAGAAGTCAATGCCAGACTCTGTAGGAATATGTCTGATATTTAGTTGACATCATAAAGCACAAGAACAACCGAATATCAAACATATCACACAGCCTCTAGCCAGTCAGCAAGTCGGAGCCTGAGCAGACTTGAAAAGCCTGTAGCAGACAGGAGAAACAATGCAGTGAGAAAAAAGAAGGGAGTGACAGATATATTCTGGAAACAGAAACGACCTGCACAACCCGTTCAACACAGGAGATACAACAGAGGAAAGGCCTTGGGGGGGGGGGGTCAGTAACACAGAGTCAAAGATCCTGTTGGCATTTGAGATCACCTATAAGTGGCTCGATTTGCTTCAGGAAACATGGGGATGATGGGAAACAGTGAACAGCAAAGACAAGAGGAGGAGAGGTGAGATTCACATGACGAAACACTTCGGTCTCTCAGCAGATCCAACGTCACATGCAAGCACAAATACAAGGATACTTACCAACTGTCTTCATCCACACATGGTGCCGCGTGTCCCATCAGTACAATAGCTGGTAAACAAGAGGTTAAAGTTAAAAAATGGGATTACTTGGAGTGTGTGTGAAATGATTCACAACTAACTGTTAAATGTGTGTGCAAGCTATGACCTGTGTGTGTGAGCAATTCCTCAGTGGGACAGCATTTATATATGCAACCCTGTGAGTTTGGGGGGACCACCTACACACACTCTTTTAGTGGCACACACACAAACACACCACACACACACACACACACACACACACAACACACAAACTCTACTCACACTGAGTATGCACCATGTAATTAGAGGTATATTGATCAACTGCTGTGGCCTGCAGCCTTTCCTCCCCACATTAGCCTGATCAATAGATGTGATGTTCATCCTGCTGTGAGCTCCCTCTCTCTCTCTCTCACTCTCTCTCTCTCTCTCTCACACACACACACACACACGCATACATGACCGCACATGCAGAGTCAAATAACTTTGAGTTATTGCCTGTAGGGAGGGCAAACGTGAACACATGACGGTCACTTCACTAAGTCACTAGTTGTATCCTGTTGCTACAATATTCCCTGTAAAAATTAAAGTATATCAAATGATGTATATGTCAAACAATTCATTTTAAGAGATGTATGTTTGTATTAAACATAGCTATGGCAAATGCATTTCAATAATGATGCTTTTTGACAATTTTTCATTAAAAGAAAAGAAACAAAGGGACTGAAGTAGCAGAGAGTAGCAACAAAACCAGGTAGATAAAATGTATAACAATGAATTCTATTCTGTATCAGCATTAGTCAATTTAATTTTCCTTCACAATACCCAAAGCACTATAAGAGTATCCACGTGTGAGTATCACAACTGCATTCTCTCTATCTAAGTCCGGAATAATTTTCCTGCCACTATTCAGCCAACTTATTGAAATATCATAAAATCTCTAAATGATAATATTAAGAGACAGAAGTAAAAGTTATAGCTTTACTTCAACCAGTCACAGCATAAGAGGCTGCTTACACAGTAACGCATCAATAGTAATAATACAATAACACTGACAATGGTTGTTGCTGCCTAATGAGTAATTTTTGATACTTGAAGTACATTTTTCTGCTAATACTTCTGTACTTTGAAGTAAGATTTTTGAATGCAGGGCTTTGAGTGTTTAAGTATTAAGATGACCTCCACAGTCAAGGTGACCTCTGCTTGTCGGAATGACTGGTGATATCACTACATCTGTGTCTTCAGTGGGGGAGTGTGGGTACTCTAACATGTGCTGACTGCACATCATGTGTCAAATATGATCGTCCATGATGAATGCAACACTTTCACCTGTGGGTGAGTCAGGATTTTTCTTTTTAATCAGTGAGAAGCAGGTGTGGAATAGTTGGAGCTGATAAGAAATACATTGTGAGAATGAGAATTTATGATTCATAGAGACATCCGGTACTTGACTGTGTCAGATATATCGCTATTATGTCATGTTTTCATTTACAAACATCAAACGACGTCATTAGTGAAAAACAAGATTAGATGTTGCATTTGGTGGACAACAGCCCTTGTTTATGACATCAGTCAGACTGACTGTCCCCCCTCTGCCGTCTCTGTATCCTCTCCTGGTACGACGCTGACCTTGTGAGCCTATTGGAGCGGAATGATAGCCCTCTGATTGCCTAATTGTGAGCCTGGGGGGAGTATTTTAATCTCTCACAGATGGAGAGTAGTGTGAGGCAAAGTGCAAGATGGCAGTATACAATATAAAGCAAAATGATTAAAAATTAACTATATGTTGTTTAAACCTATTGTTGTCTTACGTGACCAAGTAGTATTGTTTTTTTACAGTCTAATAATTCACTCCTAAGTCATTAGTCATCGCCTCCACAAAAAGTGAAAAAACTCGTTTACCTCTGATTTAGTCAGGGCTTAAAGTTATTATGCTTCCCTGCCACATATTAAAGGTTCAAAGATGAAAAAAAGATCAAAACTTAAAAAAAAAATCTTTGAACAAGTAAAAGTTAGTTTCATTTTCCATGCAGATTCATCAGTAAAGTTTTACTGATGTATTCTGACACCCAACTGCTGTAAGGCTGCAGCATTAAAACATCCAATTATACAAAACATCAATATTTAATTTGGCAATTTAAAAAAAGAGAACAAAATCCAAATAGAGCCAAATTGCTAATTTTCACATGTGCTGAATCCAGGGAACATACACATTCAAATGAAAAAACAAAATTTTGAATCTCAACTTTATCGTTCCTGTGACCAAAGAAAAAGCTTGTACTCTTGATAAAAGCAGACTAATAGAGACAACAAACTTTTCCCTGGAAGTTAAGATTACATCATATGATAAAATGATCATGCATACAAATGGGCATTTTATCAACACAGAAATTTTTTTTAAAATTTTTTAATTACAAAGCAGATCATGCAGTCTAATAACTAGGTACAGTCATGAGCAATATGTCCATAATGATGTCTGTGCAGTTGTTTAAATAAATATAATATAATAGGGTGCCCCATGGCTTTATGGTGGTGACCATAAACCTGCAATGTCCCTAGTTTGACTCCAGCTGGGGGTTTTTGTTGCATGTCATTCCCTTTCTCTCTCCCTTCATTTCCTGCAATATCTCTACAGTCAAAAGCTCTAATAAGCCATAAAAATGCCCTGAAAATACTTACAAACAAATATTATATAATAAACTTGGAACCTTACAGCGAGTAGACCAAATAACAGCTGTTCAGTCTAATGCAATATAATGCCAAAGTCCTACAATGATCATTACCTTTGTGAACACTAAATTGTTTAATTTTTATCTTTTTCATCTCCAAGTAAAGGTATCCAAAGCTGCTGTGCTAATAGTATTCCTTACATTGAAATGCGTACTCTGGTAAGTGCCTTTCAAAGTGTACTGGGAGGTAAACACTTCTGCAGTGTTAGTAGGTTTAAAATAAGATACTACACACAAAAAAACATGCAGGCATAACATTTTATTGAAAATTCACACTCCAGTAGAAAGAATGATGTTCTGTACTCAGCCAGAACACAAACTGCACAGCCAGAGCTTCACCAGGATAACAGAGTGAAGTTTATAGGTAGTGACAGACCAAGGCTTTGGGTTCTCTGATTGGTCAGTTTCCCTCCCTTTCTCTCTCTCTCTCTCTTTCTCTCTCTATCACACACACACACACACACACACACCCTGAGGCAGGGTCACTAAGAAACAAAGCGACAGACAAGGTTAACAACGATTATTCAATACCTATACTGTGTTTTCAGCATTGGAGGTAGAGGAGTTATCTAACAGAGAAAAAAACTTGATGAAAACTAAAGGCCAAAAGGCGTAATGTACTGCAGAAAAAAAAGAACAGTGGCAAAAGAAACAGAGGAGGATTTTGTCCGTCTCTTTTATTCGTATTTCCTATTTACATGCAGTCAAATAGGTGGCTTATCTGCAAATGGTGTTAGGAGGGGGGAGGGTGGGGGGGGTGGGGGGGTTGTTACAGCTATGCTGAATATATCATGTGGTTTGTCAACGTTTGTCTGTCCACTTTCTTCTGATCTCACAGTCTGCATTAATCATTACCAGGATACAGGTTATGAGTATTTTACAACCATGCCTTTGTTAAGCCTCACACCCTGACTATTGTGTGCAGTGTTGTACTTTATATTGAGCATTCTGACATACTGATGTGAGTGATTGAGCGACAGATACATGAAACCGAGCAGGTGGTGGAGGAAAAGCTGAAAGGTTTGTCTCCTTCAGGTTCATTTGCAGTGGGAACCTGCAGGTCCTCCCAGATCACATCACTCCTCTGTTTTTCCCGCCAGCGATTTCCTACATTGGCTTTCAGTTACCACAAACATGATTGAACCCTTCTTTAGCCTAGCCACCACAAAATATTTATTTATTACAAAGCATTTTACACCTTCGCACACACACAGACACACACATATACACACAACAAACACAAGCACATGTGCCCTACTCCAAAATGTGTCTTCATTCCCCTTCAGTTTACCATCCCGAAGGTGTGTCTGTGTCTAAGTACATACACACTACCCACCAAACACATGACCTTCATAGAATATTCCCTGAAGGTTCCCGTTTGGTCACATTCTTTCTCTCAGTTGCCAGTTTATTACTTACACCCAGCTTAAAGCAATCCAGCCTAATACAACAGTCCTGCAGGAAGTCCAACCATGATATATATCCTGGCTGGACACAGAAGTCTTTAAAGTTCTCAGAAAAAGTACATTTCAATACTTTCATGACAACTACTTAAACTCTCCTCTGCACAGATATTACACAAAATATCACAGGTATTCTTTCTGTATTTTAATTAAATGTTATTAAGAAGGACCTTGGTCAGGGAGGTGACTAAGGGCCCAACGATCACTATAACAGAGCTTCAAAAGTCCTGTTCAGAGATCATAGAACCTGCTGATCGGACAACCATCTCAGCAGTACTCAATCAGGCCTTCATGGTAGCGTGGCCAGATGGAAACCACTTTGATAGCACTAGGAAAATAAACTGTCAACTCTTGAAAGGACCTACCAGGAAGAATGAGCTGCTCAGACAGAGGAGTACAAAGTTTGTAGAGAGTCATCCAAGATGACTCAAAGCTGTAAATGCTGCCAGAGAGGCTTCTACAAAATACTGAATTAATAGTCTGAATGCTTTTGTAAAATTTAAGAATTTGATTTTTAATAAATTTGCACTATTTTTTTCGTGGATTACTGAGTGTAGATTGATGGGCAAAATGACATTTTTATCAATTTACAACTAAATCTACAACACATTAAAGTGTGCAAAAACTGTAACAGTCTCCACTTTGACCATCTGCAACATTAAAATGCTGTTTACACATTAACATGTATGTATTTGTTCTATTCATTACATTTATCTGATAATACTTCTGTGCTTTTACTTAATGGGATATATTTTAAGTCATGGTATTTCTACTTGTACCTAAGTAAAGGATTTAAATACTTCTTCAACCACTGTTGGTAATAAAAGGTGTATAGAGGACTTTGCACTTACATGAAAGAAATATTGTCAAAAGTAATCGCCCTCTATTGCTTTACAGCTTCAGAACCATAGCTGATCAAATGTAAGAGCGATAAATGATCATTAATGACAATTTATTTTACTGGAATTTTTTTTTATTCAACTTGAACTTAAAGTGAGTACATTATTGGCAGGATACTGTATAGATATGACCCTCTTTTTTTTTTTTTTTTTTAAACAGTCAGTTCATAGCTGTGTACTTATTTTCTTTGTGCCATAAATCCAAACTGACCAGTAGACAGACATTGCTGCTGTTGAGTGAGTGACCGAGCGACAGACAACATGAAGCCGAGCAGGTGGTGGAAGAAAAGCTGGAAGGTTTGTCTCCTTCAGGTTCATTTGCAGTGGGAACCTGCAGGTCTTCCCAGATCACATCACTCCTCTGTTTTTCCCGCCAGCGATTTCCTACATTGGCTTTCAGTTACCACAAACATGAGTGAACTCTTCTTTAGCCTAGCCACCACAAAGTATTTATTTATTACAAAGCATTTTACACCTTCGCACACACACAGACACACACATATACACACAACAAACACAAGCACATGTGCCCTACTCCAAAATGTGTCTTCATTCCTCTTCAGTTTGTTGCATAAAAATAAGGAGTATTCGTTCACATCCCAGTAAGTGAGTAGAGTCCTGCTTTAGGCTCTTCACCACTGTCTCACCCGTCATCAACCCAGTAAAGCTAAATGCTGCAATCTGGATGCAATGTATCGAAAACTTTGTTTCTTTAAGAGATGAAGTGTTGTACAGCACACGTTGTTATTCCTCATCTCTTCTTAGGGGCCTCTGCTTTTGCCTCCTCTTGTTTAGGGGCCTCTGGCTTTGCCTCCTCTTGTTTAGGAGCCTCTGGCTTTGCCTCCTCTTGTTTAGGAGCCTCAGCCTTTACCTCTTCTTGTTTAGGGGCCTCTGCCTTTGGTTGCTCATTGCCACACAACTTGCTTTAAGAGAAAGTTCAACAATAGAAAATGTAGTGAATGCATAGAAATCATTGTAGAAGTTCGAGTGCACACTGAAGATATATATGTATATACATATTTTTAAATTAAGGTCCAGTAAAGTAGTAACCATACCTTGCTGAGTCTGATCCTTTTTTCAAAAAGTCACATACTGGGTTCCGTGTTGCTAGTTGCTGTTTCAGATTTTCTACTTCTATTTTCCAGGTGGCCGTCTCTTTATCGGTTTCAGCTTTATTATCATATGACAGGAGACATTTAAGGTGTTTTACAAATTAAAAGCAAGGTTAGAGAAAGAGAAATACATTAAAAATACATCTGAAGAAAAAAAGGAGAAAGCTGCTTTGGCTCATCTCTCAGTTAATGAATACACAACACCTTTGGACATTGCGGCCACTACAGTAGGCCTTCACTTACCTTTGAAATTATTGAATTCTGTCTCTGCAGATGCCAGCTCATCTCTTGCAGTCTTCTGCAATTGGTAAAAGAATATCTCAGCAAGACAAACCTGAGTTTGTTAGAGAAATTTTCTCTACATAGACCAACATGGATGCTAGTTGCAGGATCCTGTAAATACACATCTTCAACTTAAACAACTTCTTTCTGACTGCCACGGTAAATATTTGAACACTACAGTCATCAGATTAATTGCATCTGTACACAACACAGTTTTCATGCATGTCATCAGTATTATGTTATCATGTATAAATCACTCCCTATATACTTCCTCCTTTGACATGTCTTCCCTTTATTTGGCTGTAGATTATCTCTCCAACTTTTTCCCTTTCACATTATCCTATTTTCTGTGTCCTAAAAGGTTCTTTTTAGGGTGATGTGTTCCTCAGATGTTCTGAGGAACACTGAGGAATCACCTCGCTCCATTGTGAAACCACTAGACTTTGTATAGTGAGCTCATAAAAGGCAGTAAATATGTAAAAATGATACATATGTAAATGCACACTGATTCTCTATGAAAACCACATAGAGCCACAGGGCCAAGACATTTCTGAATGCGCTCTATTGTTCCTCCACAGTTTGAGTGTTGGCAGTCCTCTGGGTACTTGACACCACAGCAGAGGAATTTTTATGATGCAAATTTCCATGTATTAATTGCTATTTCAAAACAGCATAACAAAAAAACAAAACGCTTTACTGCAGGAACACCTGCAGGCAGGGTGGTGGGGGTGTGGGGGAGGGTTAGCCTATGACCCTATTAAGGCTAAGGATGTTCATTTACATAATTCAAACAATATATGCAATAGTTTACAAATTGTGTAGGTAGGAAAAGGTACATTATTGTTGCAGTATAGAGGTGCCACTAGGCCTGTTTTCAGTCCCTGCTCTGACAGTGTAAGACATGCTAATTATTCCTAAACCAGGTTAAACAGGTTATGTGTGTGTTTTTTTTTACTTGTCCATAGGCTACACTTGACATGACTTAAGTCAAATCAGTTGTTCCACACAAAGAGACTGATTAAGAAAGGATATTATTCCAATAGTTATGAATAGCTATAGTAATAAAAAGATGTAATAAATAATTTAATTTTGCATTCGGTTCTTATATTTAACCCTTTCCTCCTCGCCTGGCCTCAAGTTCAAGTTCCTTACATTTAGTTTTAATTGCCTACAAGGTCACACAAACCTGTGTCTCTGTGTAAACTAGATCAAGCATGATTGCGCATGGGACCAGCATCAATACCCTCATCTTTCACTCTGTCCTCACCTGGCCTCCCTGACAGACGTCTGCATCACCCTTCGTCTTATCCGCTTTGGTCTGGAGCACGTTTACTTCTTCCTCCAGCGTTTTCTGGCCATTCTCGGTCTCATACAACAGTTTCTGCGTCTCCGACATTTCCTTCTCAAACTCCCCCAGCATGTCGTAGGTCACCCGCAGCTTGATATCCAGAAACCTTTTCCGTCTATCTTCTCTGTCCTCCTCCTTTTTCCGTATCTTGATGAGCCCGAGCAAAGCGACACTCACGATGACTGTTACAGGTAGCAGCACTTGCACTTTCATTTTTTTTCTGGAGTTGTGACTCTTCTATGTGTGTGAAGGGTGGCTTTACTTCTTCCTACAAGGTGTCACAGCATAGCTTCTTTAACTTCCATGTAGAATTCCGAGTCAAAACCTCTCAACCTGGTCGCTCTGGTTACACCTCTCTGCGTTTCCTGGATCACTTCTAATCAATCAGACACGCTGCCCGACTCACCTGTGCCTCTGGATTGGATAGTCATTATTTTGTTGGGCATAAGCTATCTAGCCTTGCCCCTTTCTGTCACGAGAAACACACCCTCTTCCTGCATGGCTGCCAAAAAGAGACTGGCCCTGCTGAACACCTGTTACACCTACAGTATGTGCTCATCATCCATGTCATTTTAATACCTTATGCTATAACTGAGTCAAAGTTGATTGTAGGTGAACAGGCGTGTCTATGTTTTGTTTCTGTGTGTGTGTGTGTGTGTGTGTGTGTGTGTGTGTGTGTGTTCTATGTGTGTACAATAAATAATTCATTTATTCTAACTTATATAAGTAAATTTCTTTAAATTTAAAGCAGTCTGATATTCCTTTTTAAAAGTCATCTCAGATAATAGTGGCAGTACAGTAAAAAAAAAAAAAAAACTATGGTATTAGCAACAAGATGTACCTAAAGTATCACAAGTAAAAGGCTTTATTATATTATTATATATTTTCTATTAAGAATTGATGCATTCACATGTACGCAGCATGTTAATGTTGTTGTTGGCTAGTTTGTAAAGGTGGGCAGTTTAATCTGTAACAGTGCATGATGATAATTGTTGTTTTGTATGTAAAATTTTAACGTTAACCTAGCTGTCAATTCAATGTAGTACAGTAAAAAGTACTCTAATTTCCTCCTATAAATGTAGTGAAGTATAGGCAATACAAGTAAGAAAACGGCAAAGGTCAAAGTAGGCCTACATCAAAACTGCACTTAATACCTGCAGTAGGCTACTTGAATGAATGTAAAGAAACAGGTTAGAGCAGGAGTTTTTTTTAGTTTTTTTTTTTTTGAGGTTTTAAGTTTGTTTGGTATTCAGCCTCATGTGAATTCTTATTACTTGGCACTCTTTTTAATCTGATGTTAAACGACATTCAATGGAAGCAACACGATCACCATGCCAACACATTCAAGGTGCTTCTACAGGTGCGCGTCTGCCAGAAACAGAATGTCACAGGAGGAAATTATGTAGAGCGTCACGCCCATCTTGTTGAGCAGGTAGAGCAGGTTAACAAACACAATAACCACGGTTACACCGGGGCAGGGAGCTGGAGGAGACGCGCGTGAGCGGTGAGTGGAGAGAAGATACCCGGAATGCACGACAAGTGATCGGCAGCAGTTTCCACCAACTGGCCCCTTGTTGATCCAGTCTTTTATTGTCTCGACCAAGATGAAGCTCGCGGTTGTTTTACTGTGCCTGAGCGTGGCTATGATGGTTGGAATGGTTTTCCAATCCGTGCGCCAGGAGCTGCACCTGCGCCACTTGAAAACCCGCATGGTGCTGGACTCGGTGGAGGTCAAGAGGAAGGAGGAAGCCATCGTCGATGCGAAAAATAAAATACAGGGGCTGAAGACAACACTAGACTCTGTCAACTCCAAGATGGATCAGCTGAAAAAGAAGAAAGTAGACGGTGAAACATCAAGACAAGAGCATGATAAAACTCTGCAGGCCTGTAACTCAGAGAAGGTAAGGGACACACACATACAGTTTTCTTAACAGATTCCGGGAGAGATGGTCATGATAACTTCAGGTTTTGACTAGTGCTTTGCATCCTTCATTGCGCGCGCACACACACACACACACACACACACACACACACATACACATTTACTTAGCATACACTTCAGCATGAGCTACTATCATAACATTATTTACAGGAAAGTCAAGAAATCATTTTTCAGGATGCGCATGATGTCTAATATTGACTGTGTGAACTTGGAAAGACAGGATCAGCTTGTTCCGCAGTATCCTGTTACATCCAAATGTTTCATTTATGTTTCTTCTGAACCTGCTTTTTTTTCTCCTCATGCATTAATCTGCCTTAACCGCTGACAAATATTTTCTCCTGTTTCCTTATTAGGAAGAGGTTGAGAAAAAGAAGGCAAGTGTGACAGAGGACCTGACTAAACTCAAAGGTAAACAAGCCTTTTGTTTCAGCCCTGGGAAGGTAGGTGGTTAAAAGTTTGCTTCTCTATACTAATGCCAGCCAATCCACAACTGAGAGAGCAAGAGAATGACACAAACTCTAAAGTGTCTCTACACATCTTAATGGCCATTTAAAAGACAGGGGATGAGCTGGCGAGATCTGTCAGTCTTGCACCATCTACACAGAACCCAGACACCAGGAATGCTGAGATAACTGTCTTGTTTTCAATTTAAATTTAACAATGAGAAACCAGTGGAACTAGATGTGATAACAGTATCCCGTTTCAGTCACTGATCTGCATATCGCTTATCCTAGCTGATTTAAATCTGAGCTCAGCTAAAGTACCAGCAGCCATTCACATGTTTGCACCTTAATATTCAGCAAAGCCTATATTTGGACATTGTCATTTTGTACACTCTCTGGAGTAACATTTGGTTCTCTCTGTTGTTCTCTGTAATTTCCCTAGCTGACCATGAAGCGGCTAAAAAGAAGGCAGAGGAGGAGATTCAGAGCTTGAAACAAGAGATTCTGGATAGAGACAAAGCTATATGTGCCTTTGTAGATACGACGAAGGAGGAAGCACGGTAAGATTTGAAACAACTATTTGCATCTTCAAGAATAACAGTGTGACTTGTATCCAATTACAGTGCAGTTCTATTTAACAGTCATGGCTGTAAAAGTAAAGCCACAAAGCAGCCTTATCACATAAGGACTTTGCACTTTGAAATAACACTTTTTCTTCTTAATTTCTTAATTTCACAGGAAGCTGTGTGGAATCACTGTCGCTAAAAAATAAAGTCAACTCAGAAACATTCAACATTGACTGAGAACTTAAAAAAAAGAAGAAGCATGCTATACATACAAGGATACAATTTTACTATCACTGATGTGATTATAGATCTGCTTGTTTCTTAAGAGAATGTTTGATCTATATTGATTTATAAAAACTGTCTGTACATCCATTCATGGGACAAATAGACATAGGGACTGGGGAAATATAATATTTTTTTTTTACAGGATTGTATTGGTGGGTTGGATCTTGTGTGGCTTTCTATCTCTGTAAAACACTTTGACACATACTTGTGATTACAGCCTTCACAGATCAACTTAGCTGTTATGCAAAGTCATTACCAAAAACAGCCTCCACTGATTGAACCAGTAAAGCTACGTTGTGTAGTACCTGTGTATGTTCTGGTGCCCGGCTCCTGATGAAACTGTGTCTACCAGCAACCCGGAAAACAACATGATCACTGGTCTTGTGTGGCATCATTTGTTAACCAAACATACCACGTTTAGTGGAACAGTAAATTTATGCCTCATGGAAATATCACATGATGTCACATATTGGGAGTGAGATAAATGTCGGTTGAATAAATATTCACTTAGAATAAATGGTAGCTGACATGCAGATTAACATGTCATATTTCCAAATATTATATTTCTCAAAAAGCCACAGTAATCTAAAATTGCCCCATGGTAGCTGTTTTGTACACAATAAAATCTTACCTGGCTGATAAGCTGTCTGGTGTTATCTCTGGTCTGTTTGTACTGCAGGGCCATAACCAACTGAACTCGAACACAAAATTAATGTGCACAAATGAATGACACATATTTTTATGTCTGTCATATATTCATCTCTTATTTGATAGGTTGAAACAAAACAGTTCAATGACCTGTTCTCTACCCCCACCTAGTGCCCATCAAAGGCTTAACTGACAGTCTCCTTGCAATTCCAATTCCAATTTCCATCTCATTTGCAGACTGAAGTACTTAGTATGCATACCTTAGTTCTCTTTTCCTTCAGTACCTTTTCAGCTAATCTATAAACCTTAAGCTTTGGAGACTCAGTTCAGCCAGTCTGTCTGAGCTCACAAAAGCTGGCCTCCAGCATGCTACAAAATGAGTAAATAAGTAAATACTATTCTGGAAAGTTATGTTACAGAGGTGCAGTTTTGAGGGCAAAGGTTCAGACAGAATTAGTTTAACCATAAAGGAAAAGGTGTTGCATCTGATGAACAACAAACTTAGACATTTGGTTCAATCAACTTCAATCCTAAAAAAGGCAATGCACTGGGCTCAACAGGTTAAGAGGTCAGTTAAAAAACAAAATGTGTGGCTCTGTCTTTGACATTCATATTCAATTTGAGAAAAGACAAATAGTTTCTTAAATTACTTTTTTAACTGTCAAGAACTGGTGTTCCTACAAGCACACTGAGTGATCACTTCTTATATGGGAAGGATCACATTTAGAGAAAACAAATGTTTATAAATTGTGGTAAGATTGTTAGTAACTGAAATCTCTGTATGGCTGTACAAATAAAAATAATAAAATAAAAACAATTATTGTAGTAGATACCCAGAGGGTATTCATTTATTTTGTGACCCCTTCTGTCCCATTCTTGTGAATGCAATATCTTGAGGGAATTTCTTCAAATTTGGCATGAACGTTCACTTGGGCTCAGAGATGAATTGATCCCATTTTGGTGGTCTAGGGTTAAGGTCACTGTGACCTACCAAAACACTTTTGGCTACAACTCAAGACTTACACACTGATTAACTGCAGTTGGACTGGTTGGCAGAGGCATACAACTGCAAGGTGGTAATTCTAGTGTACTAATGGTAACAGACATTTCTCTATACCAAGTTCACATAGAATTCCCATTTTAAACAACTCACTTCTCTTTACCAGCATCAGTTAACGGCTAATCTCACATCCAAAATGCAAACAAAAGACTTGATACACATCTCAGGATCAATAACATTGACGACATTTGTCTCCATACAAGAAAACTGTCTCTCAGAACCAACACAATGACCTAAGCACCTGAATGGATTGAGCTACAGGAAACGGTGGAAATAAAGATATTTTTTATAACCAATGGTTATAAACCATTAATTAAATTAACAAACTTTATAAATACTAAATAGTAAAGCGTTTCCATGTCCGTACCCATGTTGTTAATAAAGTTTTACAAAAATAATGTTGGTTGCCAATGGGAAC